TTGTTAATTTCGAACCATTATGTGAACTTATAAGTGTCGGTTTCGGTTTCGGTTTTGGTTTTGGTTTGAATAATGGATATTAGATGAAATTTATAGATGAGATTTACAACTTTCGAGCTGTATATTGTTGCGATCGAGGTTAACGAACATTTACGAAAAATAAGAAAAGATTAGGGGAGTCGCTTTTCTCGATAATTTCGAACCATCATGTGAACTTATAAGTGTCGGTTTCAGTTTCAATAATGGATATTAGATGAGATTTACAACTTTCAAGCTGTACATTGTTGTGATCGAGGTTAACGAACATTTACGAAAAATTAAAAAAAATTTACGGGAGCAGCTAGTATATAATTTCTCCGAATCGCTTTTACCGTTAATTTCGAACCATTATGTGAACTTGTAAGTGTCGGTTTCGGTTTCGGTTTTGGTTTCAGTAATGGATATTAGATGAGATTTACAACTTTGAAGCTATGTATATAATTTCTCCGTCGCTTTTCTCGTTGATTTCGAACCATTATGTGAACTTATAAGTGTCGGTTTCCGTTTCGGTTTCAGTAATGTATATTAGATGAGATTTACAACTCTCAAGCTGTATATTGTCGTGATCGAGGTTAACTAACATTTACGAAAAATTTGAAAAAATTACGGGAGCAGCTAGTAAATTATTTCTCGCTTTTTAATTTCGAACCATTATTCTGCATTGACATATGAAGTTTCGTCGATTATTTTATTCCCAATTTACTTTGAAATATCAGATATTTTACGGGTGTGCTGCTCAATACACCATTATGCCTTGTTTGGGGGTAATAATTAGCAAATTATTGGGGCTGTCACCTTCGCTTACAGTAGGTTTGATACTGCTCTCGTGTTGTCCAGGTGGCACGGCATCCAACGTGGTACGACCAATTCCACATTACATAGTTCTTTACGAGCTCCACTTTTCTTTAAACTTACTCTATGTTACTTGTGGTTTAGTTTCGATTCATATTCAATATGATATTGATCAATATTCACAAATTTTTCCGTTTCTTTCCCTTTTTGTCTGAAAATAGTGTTACAGGTAACTTTAATTGCTCAAGGAGATGTTCCTTTGTCGATT